GTTTTTAATATTTTTTTTTGACTGTGTCATGCATTTTCTTTCATATGAAGTATGCTCGAAACCCTTTTATACCGTGCCACAGTGATTTTAACACACAAAAAACCCATATAAACGCTAAACCATGGGCCAAATATAATAAAATAATTCTCGGTGAAAAATTTGTTTATTAAATTCAGTGCTATGTGGGAAAGCACATAACGACGAATATGTTTTGTAAATGCCATTTTACATTTTTTCCTTGAATATCCTTGAAAATTTGCAATATGAACACGACAACATCCTTGGATTTCGTCATTGGGACTTTATTAGCTAAAGAAAATAAAATTAATTAAAAGGGAATTTTCAATACCTATTCGTCCTTGTGAACCAAAAAACTTTATTTTTCCTTTTATTCTACAGAATTTTCTCTTTCAGTTGCTGCTCATATTGTTATTCTACATTTCACTAAATTTCTTAAATAATTTTTGGAATTCATTATACTTTTGCAATTTGAAAAAATCCAGACATCGGAGCAGTGTTGTCAGAAAAAAATTACCAAATTCCTCAAAAACAAATGAAAATTCCTCAAAATTCGAAAAAATTACTCAAAATTTTCTTATTGCAGATATGAGTATTGTGTACTGCATATATTTACTGGCACTTAGTATTAGTGTTAATTGGTTTGTATATAATATTGCAGCAATTATATCAGTGCTCAATCTGGTGCTCAAGTCAATCCTACACATTTTTAAACTATTAAATATACGTTCTACTGAATCTAATGCTAAGGGCTATATTAGTAATGCAGATATAATTTTCTTTAATTGGCAAACTTATATGAACCTGAAGAATCTTTTAATTCAAAAACTTTTTTCCCATAATTTTCTGGATCTAATGAAGAATCAATATGAATATCCTTTTGATCGAATAATGCGTGTTATCTCCATTCGTTATCGAGATTTTGCAAGTTCAAAATTAGTTGAAAATGTAACGATGGAATGAAAAAAAAAATTATCGATAACATTTTCAACATTTTGCAACAAATGCAGATGTGCTTAACAGCGAAAAACACCACGCCAGCGTCTTGGCAAACCAAGCGAAATATCCCTTTGCTTAAAGCTATTCATGTTGTGTATGGGGGGGGTTTGAAGGTTTGACAAGCCGTTTGAGGGAAATGTTAACAAAAATCCAAATTTTTTGATTTTCCGGCCTCCATGTTGACTTTTGATCAAACCGCTTACGTTGTGTATGATAAAATCGCCTCATTCGTAACGGAATTTTTACCGAATGAGGACGCAAGAGAGAAAGATCAAAGAAAACTAAACCCTTTGGGCGAAATGGGAAAAGTAGGTTTGAAGAATGTTTGACAAGCCGCTTGAGTGGTGTATTTCGCTCTTTATGAAACTTCGGAAAGCTTTCCTCAAAAAATACTCAAACGCACCCGATATCCTCACGTTTTGAGGAATTACTCACAAAGTGGCAACACTGCATCATAGAGAAAAACTAAAAACGCAGTTGTACAATATTTGGCCCCTAGTTTCGTGAGTATATTGATTTCTTGATTTTGAGGCACGCTGTTATAGAAAGCAAGGTGTCAAAAAACGCGTTTTAGCTAAAATTTAAATTTTATCGCGGATTCTGGTAGAGTACCCGTCCACTAAAAATGTTTGTTTGGGAAAATTTTTTGAACTAAAGTTAAAAAAGCAGATTTTATTGTTGATTTCGGGAGAATATCCCTTCGTTCGCAGTCTTTTAGAATTTCGCGTGGAAATTTTAGGATCAAATTGTATGGTCTTATTCATAAAAAGTAAGGCGTATCCATGGTATAATAATTACAGGTATTGTCTTCCCAGAGAGTGCATATTCCGATCTGCCTTATTTGAAAAACATCATTGTTGCCCACACTAAAAGGTTTACTGCTAGGCAAAAGGGATATTTCCATACCCCATATACCATATATATATGTACACGTATTTTTGTACACAAACCTTCTTGCAGAGGACTTATTTAATTTGCAAAAGCCGAAAAAAACATTTGCTTAGTAAATAAATTTGTATGGCTCACTTCATTTCAAACGATTTTTCTTTTCTTTTGAAAAATTATAGAAATTAAATTGAGCGAAAACAAAACACAAAGCCAAATAAAAGTAAAAGAATCAACATTGAACTGCGTCAAAACGTAAATAAGGGAGCACGAATTTCGATGTGAAGCAAAAATCTCTGGGAAGACAATACCTGTAATTATTGTACCATGAGGCGTATCTAAAGAGCCGTGTAAAGTGACATCATATTTTCAAATTCTTGATTTATAAAGCATCTCAAGTCTTCTTTATTTTTTATGAATTTGGGTGCTAGATTTCGCCGTAGTTTTTGGCAGAGATGTGGGACGCTTTTCATCGCGTAGTATGCGTAAAAAAGTGTCTACAAAATCATCAACACAAATACTTCTGCCAAGTTCAGAAAAAATTTGCTTCTTTAAGTGTGGAAATGGTCCGAGACATTTTCACGTTTAAAAATTGGACTTTTATCACCAGAACAAGTAAGTTCGTTTTCAAATGATTTAAACTTCCCGGAAACTCCTAGACATGTTAACTTAATTTTAGGTCGTAGACTACGCGTCTCTATCTGTATCCTTTTTCTAGATCAGATCATTTACCCAAAATATTTTTTATTATAAGTTTGCATTAGGAATGAAATAATAATCGAATTTTGACATGAAAAATGTTACTCATACGCCATAGACTAGTATGTATGTTAGGGCGGGTCCATTTTTTATGGGAGAGTTTTTTGACTATGCGCGCAGAAGGATTTTACGTGCAAACTTACCGAAGTAAAAGTTGGTCTAAAATCAATTTGGAGTTTGCCAAACTGCGAAAATAGGTTTATTTGCATTTTGCTGTACTATCGTAAAGAAGTGCTCAAATTTTTTATAAAAACATGTTATAAGCGGTTCTTTGGCGTGAGGAATTTCTGCACTTATCTTCTTCTTAAAACTTACAACTATTTGAATTAGGAAATAGTTGGACTGTTACGTTATAGAAAAACCAGTTACGTTACCTGTGCGGTATACGTATAGCTTCAATTCGGTTCTTAAATGGCAATAAGTACACTAAGAAAACAGTAACATGGTTTGTTCAAATAGCGTAATTTCGGGGTTTTCTATGTCAGCGATTAGAAATTTTTGAACAGAAAAACTATTTTTTAAACAAACTTAAACATAAGTTAAACGTAAGTTTGTTTGATCGATAAAGAGAGCTGTAAGTGGATGGTAGGACACCCAGAACTGCCGGGTAATCCTATACGATCCTGTACGCCTTAACCTCTGCTTAGCCTTCGAGTGATAAATTTCAGTAATTGTTGCTTTTATCTCCCTGAGTGAAGCGCCCATGTCCACCGGGTGGGACACATTCAGTGCGGAGCCGCGCTTGCAAGTTTGTCCGCTGCCACGTTTCCGTAAATGTCTATATGTGTCAATATTACGGTAATTTCGTATTGAGCAGAGATAGAGGCCAGCTCTCTCCTAGTTACAGTCAACAGTTCAAATCTAACAGAGGTAGAAGAGAGTACCTCAATGACCGCTTGGCTGTCCGAAAAGATATTGAGATGAAAATTTAAGAACAAATTTTAGGAATTTCTTTTGGCAAGAGATTTCACACTAAATTTAAATGGTTGTAAATCAAAAAAAGCAAAAATATGTAAAAAACACATTCATTCATTACAAAATATACTAAAATATTACTGCAAAATATGCAAAAATATGCATTAACGATTGAATGCCATTTTAAAGGAAATTTATGATTCGTAAAGATAACATAACCATTTCGATTTGAACATGCCCAATAAAAATATGCATTTGCATGAGATTCCGAGCCCTAGTAATAAATATGTGCTGGGCCAAACCAACCGAATGAGCTAGCTCTCTAACTAATTTAGGAAAAATGATTAACTGAAAATGCAAATAAAAAACACCTGTCGAAAGAAGAGTACAGGAAGTCACCTTGTTTGAGAAAGAAAACTAGACTTTCCTATTTTTAAGCCCAGTGGATATTTTGAACTTTCGAAAAAAATTATATTTTTGTTTTGGCGGAACTTCGATATAATATAAATGAAAAGTTCCGACCAAAATTCATAAAAAAATAGTTTGATTTGACATGTATGTATGTGTGTATGTATATCATGTAACTGGACTCCAGTTCACTTTGTAACATTATTTTCCTATATACATACATATTAGGACCCTTTCTCCAATAACTTTACTCAGACAAATTATTTCAAGTCTTTCCGCCATATTATATTGCATTTGACTAATTTTTTATGGCTGAAATCGGATTGCGGGTAAGGTGCCAGTTTTTGCCATATATGCATGTGTGTGTGTGTAACTAAGCAAAGGTAGGTCGAGGTGCGATACACAGAATACTCAATATTCAATGCCTATGAGACGAGTGGTCGAGTGACATTTAATTTCCATTTGTGAAGGTCAAAGCAATAAAGGTTGGAAGTGAGAGTTCATGCAGCACAGTTAGATGCAAAGCAGTTAGATTGCAGCTGGGGTCATCTAGAAAATTAAAAATTAAAATAAACCTACATTAATAAGAAGTTGTATAGAAAAAAATACAGTAGAGTATAAGGAAATAAAATGAGATAAAAAAAAACAAAATAAAAAAAAACAAGAAAACCAATTAAATAAAACGCAAAAAATTTAATAAAATAAAATATATACTTTGCATATAAAATTAAAAGCAACAAAATTAAATTGATAAAACAGAATCAAATAAAATAAAATAAAATAAAATAAAATAAAATAAAATAAAAT